AGTGGCTTCTCAACATGTTGTGATCAGTTACAGTTGTAACAGTGAATAGTTGCTTATCAACATGTTTGGATAAGCCAAACATTGAAACATTGACAATGAAAAAGATCTTAGCATGTGCTGTGTTTGGATCTGATTGAGTCTTTTGGAATCAGGCAGGTATGATTTTTTGCTGTACTTCTAATTGTGTTCAAATTGTGAAGTATGTTTCAAATGTAATTGAAAATTGCCTCAGTTGCTTGAAGTAGCCTTAATCATGTCTGGAATTTGGAAGGTTTTGGGACTTTTTAGGGCACACAATCCCTTCTGGTTGGCACAATTCATAAGTAATTATGGATCTTTTTATTATAGCCATACATGTCTTGTGTCAGCTCAGTTATGTGGTTATCTTTGTTGGATTTGTTAGTACACCCACAATATCCTACCTTTAAAATAAATTTTGGAAATATTTTTAATCACCTTTCGATAATTTTCTCTGGATTCCTTACTGCACAATTATTTTTGAACGACCCTCACATTTCCAACATTATTGTGGCAATCACGGGCTTAAAATATGAACAAAATGGGCTTGGTAGCCTATAGATTGTTTTGCAAAACTGTCTGGTTGCAGTATGGTGGTATTATAGTTGGCACACAGTCTTATCATTGTTGCCCAGAGGTTATGACATGCAGTAAATAACCTTCATTGTTTGGAGGTATATTGAGACAGATTTGGTCTCTGTGATGTTGTCAACCAAAGCACAGACACAACTTATGGTTTGAAATAGATTCATCTACCTGTAATGTAATGGAAAGTTTGTTTTAGCAATGACATGCAGTTGGTATCTTTCCTGTGCACCAGGCATTATTGCTACCTGTTTCACTAGTGATGACTCTTGCTGGATGAAGAAGGCCTTTTTAGTCATGACTCAAATTATTTTCTTGTAAGTGATCCCTGCATTATTAAATGTTTTGCTAAGAGGTGAAATGTCCAAACTGACAAGCTTGCTATGCATGTTATGATTTCAACCCCCCTGTCTTTAGGGTTCCTGGCTTTTGAGCTTTTTATCAAATTTATGTTAGTTGAGACTTGAATCCTAAAATTCTGTTCTCTGTTGAAGTGCAGTTTTATCAGGTCCTATGAAAGGCACTGTACTTGTAGCAAATGAAACAAGGAGGTATGGCACCAAATGCCAGTTATCCTTAAAGAATTCTTATCTTGCCCATGGGTTTTCTAAACTAAGAAAACAATGTTTCAGTTAGTGTGGTTAGTGACCAGCTATGTCGGGTCAGTCATCAATGTTAAGGCATGGCTTCTGTCCATTGTTATGGATATATATGTCCTGTGCACCTGCATTTGTGTCTTTTAGTGCCTTCTAGCTTTTTGATATCTGCTTATGTGACAGAGAGGAGCATTTCTAGCTCCCAAAAATGATATGTTTGCATTTTGAGATGAGAGGTAAGCTTTTGAAAGCCTTAGCAACAGCAAAAAGGCAGAATATCTTTATCTGATTGTATTGTAGCTAAGATAAGATTATATGAGATACATCAGATAAGACCAGGTCAGATTTGCAATAGTCAGGTCACCCAGGGCCGAGCTACATCAAATTTGCAGGACTGACAGGAATGTGGAAACACTGTCTCTGAACCCTGTGACTTGATTCAGTATCATAGGCTCCATCAACATATCCCTTTTGCAGTTGACAAGAGGTCCTCATGTTCAGTCCAAGGCTTTTGCATTGTCATACTTGTACCACACTCGCTTTGGGGCACAATGTGATGAGTCTTGATGCATGCTTGACCCTCAACCTGATCTGGCATCACAGGTCCAACTGCTGACCTCATGTGGCTTGTACTTGCCTGTGGTATGTTGAGCTCTTGGAAATCGGCTCACGTCCTCGAGGCATCTTGTACTTAACATTTGAGAACATTACCTTATGAATCTCACTCTGTTGCTCTGTGAATTATTTGTGATGCTTGCAAATGACATGTGAAAGCCGTGCTCATTGCGTCTTAGTGCTCCACGCTGTTAATCGACCCAGCTTCTCCAAAGGACAAGAGTGCAGCACAGCTCATAGCTCCACGGAACTTACTTACCGATCTGCGCTGTCTTAGCTAATTGAAGGATATCGGATATCTGCATTTTTCCTGTCTGTTTCTCGTCTGGTCAGCTGCCGCTCGGACCCGCCGTGGCCTGTCCGCCCCTGTGGCGAGCACGGCGGCCGAGACCGGTGCTGGGCCGGGATCGGACCAGACTGCGCTTGGCGTAGGCCACGCATGTCGGCAGGGCTGGCGAAATGGCTGCTGTCGAGAATACGTTTGAAGCCGACAACTTTGTGTGTGTGTGTGTGTGTGTGTGTGTGTGTGTGTGTGTGTGTGTGTGTGTGTGTGTGTGTGTGTGTGCGTGCGTGCGTGCGTGCGTGCGTGCGTGCGTGCGTGCGTGCGTGCGTGCGTGCGTGCGTGCGTGCGTGCGTGCGTGCGTGCGTGCGTGCGTGCGTGCGTGCGTGCGTGCGTGCGTGCGTGCGTGCGTGCGTGCGTGCGTGCGTGCGTGCGTGCGTGCGTGCGTGCGTGCGTGCGTGCGTGCGTGCGTGCGTGCGTGCGTGCGTGCGTGCGTGCGTGAAAAGTCACCAATTTGCCAATTAGCGAAACGTTGGCGGTGCATTGGCGTTGTTATCATTTGTCGTCTTTTTCTTCTTTTTTTCGATAACGACACCAAAAAATGGCATAACATTTTTGCCTTCACTTCTTTTGTTATGCGTATTATGTCTTGGCGTGAGGTTTTGACTACAACAGTGACCTCATGAAAGACGAGCAGCCACAGCACCCAAACATTCTTTTCTGGGAATTTCGTGGGTCTAGGGTTATTTGAAAAAAGGTAAGAAGGGGCAGGTTGACGCTCGCCGATGATGAGAAATGGTTACGCCGCGAAAGAGATAGCACGAATCGACGCGATGCAGAACAGACGTCCGTGCGTTACGTGTTTTGGGCTGGTATTTTAAAACGTGGAAAGGAAATGGTTGACATTCGCCGAGAAAGTCAATTATGTGCGTGATATATGGCAGGCATCGAACAATGATAAGCTATATCTGTTCACATCCGACCCTCTTATCCTCCTTCGTGCTTTGTCCCGAATCCTCGCGACACCCCGTTTGTCGGGGACAGGCTTCATGCGTCAGCTACGAGTGAACGGAGAGACCTCCCTGAAGGGGAACCCCGACCTGGCGCCCGGCGCATACCCCGTAGAGGGGTCTCTGCGCGGGCTAAGGCCTGGCGATTGGCCCTATAGGCGCATGTAGTCCTGCCCCAACCTTATCCATTCTCCTTCATCCCATTGCCCTAAAGTGATCATTACTAGTCGAAAGGGCTCTAATTCAAACATGCAAAATGGATGTATTGGTTCACAGACCGCAGTGTACGCTCTGGTTTCGGACAGGCTCGGTCAGCTCCACTGACGCGTAGCTGGTCTGCGCTACGACGCCTCTCTCTCCCCCTCTTGACTCAGTCAGGCCGTGGCCAGGATCTCATTTTACGGAACCAGCATACCCGCGCCTTGTCAAAAACGACGGTCAGCTCCGTGCCAGAGCGAGCTCGCCTGTTTCCCTGCGCACCCATGACCGGCGCCGCCCCGGCTGGTCACGGCCGGGCCGGCGAGAGGCCGCGCCCTGACCCCGCCCGTTCACGGCCGGGCCGGCGAGTGTCTGGCGTATCGGTGGATCGCCGGCCGGGCGGCGAGAGGCCGCGCCCTGACCCCGCCCGGTCACGGCCGGGCCGGCGAGTGTCTGGCGTATCTGCAGGTCACGGCCGGGCGGCGAGAGGCTGCGCCCTGACCCCGCCCGGTCACGGCCGGGCCGGCGAGTGTCTGACGTATCGGTGGGTCACCGGCCGGGCGGCGAGAGGCCGCGCCCTGACCCCGCCCGGTCACGGCCGGGCCGACAAGCGTCTGGCGTATCGGTGGATCACCGGCCGGGCCGGCGAGTGTCTGGCGTATCGGCAGGTCACGGCCGGGCGGCGAGAGGCCGCGCCCTGACCCCGCCCGGTCACGGCCGGGCCGGCGAGTGTCTGACGTATCGGTGGGTCACCGGCCGGGCGGCGAGAGGCCGCGCCCTGACCCCGCCCGGTCACGGCCGCCGCACGTGGTCAGCGGTGTGGCGGCTGAGTCACGCGGCATCGATCGGGGCGTCCGGCGCCGCGCCGACCCCCGTCGGTCGGCGGCCCGGTGCCGGCCCACTCCCACTGTTTACGCATTGTGTACGCGCCGGCCGCTGGCGGGCCGGGGTCTGGCGGCGCGTGCCCGCCGGATCCCGCAGCCGCCCTGCGGAACGCACGCGCTGCCGGCTCTGGGCGTGTCGGCTCGGCCAGTGGCCGTCCTCTGGCCGAGTCCTCTCCAGAGTCGGTCCTCGCGGGACGGCGGACGCATCGTTGTTTTCGGCGTATCGGGTTGGCAGCGCGCCCGTCCGGTGCCGATCCGTGCTGGTCATCAGTGGTGCTCTTCGTAGCTGGTTGCGAGTTGGTGGGCGGGCTCTGCCAGCGGTCGCCGATCAGTGCACGTCCGTGTGTTCGCTGCAGCTGTCGGCGCCGGCGGTAGCCTCTCCCGGTGTGCCGACGCGGCCCGGCCCGTGTGACCTCTGCCTGACCCGGCTCCGCCCCTCCGCAGGTCGCGCGGGCGGCGGCCAGTGTGAGGCGGATGCGCCGCCATGCTGCCCCTGCCGCTGTTCCAGCTGCGCCCGCTGCTGGCGCTGCCGGCCGGCGCCGCCGTCCGGCTGGCCGCCAGCCGCGAGGCCGGCGCCGATACGGTGCTGGCGCTGGCGCTGGACTCTGGCGCGCTGCTGCTGGTGCTGCTGCGGCCGCGCCAGCGCCCCGTCGTGCGCCAGGTGGACCTGCCGGCCGAGCCGGACAAGCGCGTGGAGGCGCTCTGCCTGGACCCGTCGGGCGCCTGGCTGTTGGTGGCCGTGACGGCCGGCGCGCTGTACGTGCTGCCGGCGGCCGGCCTGCTGCAGCCGGACGCGCCGCCGCCGCCGTCGGCCCACTTCCGCGCGGATGACGCTACGGTGTACCCGCCGGCGCCGCACCCGCCGCAGCCGGCGGCCGTCGCCTGGTGGCGCCGCGGCAGCACTGATCTCGCCGTTGTTGGCGGCCGGCAGGGCGAGATTGAGTTTGTCGACCTGTCGAGCGGGGAGCGTGTCGGCGGCACGTACGTGCGTCACGGCATCGCGCGCCTCGACGTGCTGCACGAGGAGGTGGAGGGCCGCGTGTACCTGCTGATCTCGAGCGGCGTCGGCGAACAGTGGCGCCTGCTGCTGGAGCACCGCGCCGCCGGCTACGTGGTGCCGCTGGACGCGCTGCAGTCGGCGCCGACCGCCGCCGACCTGCACGAGACGGCCAGCGAGCTGGTGCGCGCCAAGCTGAACACGCTGCGCCAGCTGTCGCGCGAGAAGCTGGGCTCGCTGCAGCAGCGCTGGGCCGACTCGCGCCTCTTCCGGCGCTCGGTGCAGCGCGACGAGACGGGCGCGTGCGGCGCGCCGGGCGCCGAGCCGCCGGCCGGCGCCGCCGAGCCGCCCGACCGGCCGCGCACGCCCAAGCCGGAGAGCCTGACCGGCCTGCTGGGCGAGACGCGCGTGCGGCTGCAGGCCATGCGCGCCGGCGACGTGCTGGCCGGATACTACGGGCCGACGAGCACGCTCTCGGTGCACCTGGCTGACCTGGAGGCCGTACCGCTCTCCATTCACAAGCTGCCGCCGTCCGTCGGCCACCTGCTGGTCACCGACGCCGTCGTGTTCATCACCGACGCCGAGACGACGCGACTCTTTCTCGTGTCGTACAGCTTTTCGCAGAGCGACATGGACCTGCGCCGTTTCAACGAGGACGCCGTGCTGTCCGTGTTCGACTTGGAGCCGGCCGACGGCCTGCTGGCGCTGCTGCCCACGGCGGAGCACGCGCCGCCGCCGCCGGCGCGCCTGCGCCCGCACCTGGCCGGCCTGCCTCAGTCGGCGATGCGTGGCTGTCTGGTGGTGACGCGCCGCGGCGTGGCCGTCTGCGAGCCGCTGACGAGTCCCGAGGCGGCGCTGCTGCAGATCGGCACCTCGGCCGGCGCCGGCACGCATCTGCTCGAGCGCGTGCACAAGCTGTTTAGCGTTCCCGTGGGCCGGCTGTACGAGACGCTGGGCGACCTGAAGCTGGAGGAGCGCGAGTTCACGCAGGCCCTCGCCTACTACCGGCTCACCAAGAAGCCGCACATGGCCGTGGTGCACAAGTTCGCGGCGTACGGCTACTCGAGCCAGCTGCTGCACTACGCCACCATCCTGCTGGGCGGTGTGAGCGAGGGCCTGCTGCTGGCCGACCGGCGCCAGCTCTCCAACCTGGCTCTGCTTGCCCACGTCGAGATGACGCTGCGCTCCGGCGCGCCCAACGACGCCGACGCGCTCGAGAAGTTTCTGCACGTCAATCGGCACTACGACGCCGGCCTGGCGCTGCAGTACACGCTGCTGGCGCGCCAGTGGGACTGCGTGCGCTTCCTGCTGGCCGAGCGGCACCAGCACCAGCGGCTGCTGGCCTGCCTGACGGCGTCCGAGCCGGCTGCGCCGCCGCCCGGCGATGACCCGCTCATGCACGAGGCGGTGCACGACCCTGGCCTGCGTGCTGTGCTAATGGCGCGACCGCGGCTGGCCGGGCTCTACGTGCTGCGGCTGTGCGAGCGCGTGCCGCGGCTGCCGGTGGCGGCGCTGCGACGGCTGGCGCGCCTCACGGACCCGCTCAGCGCCGAGCTGCGTCCCGTCACGCACGCGCTGCTCGGCCAGCGGCCGTCTGGCCGCTCGCTCTCCGTCAGTCAGCCGACGGACGGTGAGCCTGAGGGAGGCGGCGGCGGCCAAGAGCTGCATCCGTTGCAGCCTGACGACCTAGTGGACCTGCACCTGCACGTGCTGCTGCACCTGGTGCGAGCCGCCGGGCCGGGCCGCGCGCCCGTGGTCACGCCGGCCGACGAGGCGCCGTGCCGTGCCGCCGGCGCCACCGCCGGCTGGCCGCCCGCCCTGTGCGCCGGCTTCTCGCACGCGGCGCTCTGCCGCGACGGCGAGCTGCTGGCATGGGGCGAGAACGCCGATCACTGTCTGGGCGACCCGGAGCTGACGGCCGAGCTGGCGGCGCCGCGACTGGTGGAGCACCTGCGCGCCGCCGGCGTGGCCGTTCTGCAGGCCGCCTGCGGCCGCGCCCACACGCTGGCGCTCACCACCGGCGGCGTGTACGCCTGGGGCGCCGGCCGCCTGGGCCAGCTCGGCCTGGGCGCGGCCGGCGCATGCCCGCACCCGTGCCTGGTTGAGGCGTTGGCGTACCGGCGCGTCGTGCGCCTCGCCGCCGGCCAGTACCACTCGCTGGCGCTCACCGACGACGGCCGCCTGTTCGCCTGGGGGTGGAACGTGTTCGGCCAGTGCGGCCGGTCCGGCGTGGCCGACGTGCTGTCGCCGCGGCCGGTGCGCGGCCTGGCCGGCGTGCGCGTCAGCGCCGTGGCCGCTGGCTACGCCCACTCGGCCGCGCTCACCGACGACGGGCGCGTGCTGGTGTTCGGCTGCAACGCCTACGGCCAGCTGGGCGACGGCACGACGCGAAAGCGAGCGGAGCCGGCAGCCGTGGAGCTGCCCGAGCCGGCCGTACACCTCGCCTGCGGCTTCTTTTGTTGCGTGGCGGTGCTGCGCTCGGGCCGCGTGCTCCGTTGGGGCCTGGACCCGCAGAGCGTGAGGCTCGGCGCTCAGACGCTCAAGAAGAGCGCCGCCGCGCAGGCGCGCTCGCAGGCCGCCGCCGCCGCCGCCGCCGCCAACGGCCCGGTGCCGGCGGCGTCGCGGTCGGCCGCGCTTGACGCCAAGCCCAGCCAGAAGACGGTGGACCTGCTGGGCGACGCGGACGGCCCGGCGCCGCCCGTAAACGTGCTGCTGCAGTGAGGCGTCGCCGCTGCGGCCGTCCGCTGCCGCCGCCGCGGCCGCCGCCGCGCGGCCGGCCTCGGCGCCGGTCGAGCCGACGCTGGCGACGCAGGCGGGCACCTTCACGCCGGAGACGCGCGACCACCTGCGGCCGGCCGATGTCGACACGTCGGACGTCGAGGGGCGCGTTGTGAGCGCGGCCGGCGGTGCGCAGCACACGATCTACCTGACAGCCGACGGCCGGCTGTACGCCCAGGGCCGTAACCTGGACGGCCAGCTGGGCGTGGGCGGCCGGCAGGAGGCGGCACGTCTCTCGGAGGTGAGCGTGCCCGGCGGCCGGGCGGCCGTGGCCGTGGCGTGCGGCGCCGACTTCTCGCTCGTGCTCACCGAGGACGGCGTCGTGCTCGGCTGCGGCAGCAACAGCTACGGCCAGCTGGGCCGACTGCCGGCCGCCGACAAGCTAGACGACGCCAAGCTGGTGCTCCTGAAGAACCGGCGCCTGCTGCGCCTGCCGCAGGGCCAGAACTCGTCGGACACGCTGCAAGAGGTGGTGGCGGCCGGCGGCCGGCCGGCGCCGCTCGAGGTGGCCTTCAGCGTCACCGAGCGGCACGAGTGCGCGCTCAGCCGGCCGGCCGAGTTCGCCGGCGACGCCGAACGCCTGCATGCCGTCATCGGCCTCTTCCAGGGCTGCTACGACTCGGCGCAGCTGCTGGCCAAGTGCCTCGACATGGGCTGCCTGTACGCGGCGGCGCGCGTTTGCTGCGTGGCCGGCAAACACGCCAAGGCGCTCGAGCACCACCTGCAAGCGGTGCGTGCCGAGGCGGCCACCGACAGCCGCAACGGCGATGGCGAGGCGCTGGTGGCGGCCGTCACCGGCGTCGTGGCCGACTATCTGGCGCTGCCGGCCGACGGCTCGGTGGCCGGCGGCCTGCTGCTGCGCCGCCTCCTGCTGCAACTGGTCACCTTCTGGCTGGACTGCGGCCTGGACGTGGCGCGGCTGGAGCGGCTGCTGGAGCCGCGGCTGGAGCGGCTGGCCCACCCGCTGGCCGTTTTGCTGTTCGGCGGCAGCGCCGACATGCAGCTGTCGGACGGTCGCATCGCCGCGCTCTTCGGTCAGCTGTCGGCCGGCTTCTGCGTGCGGCTGTGCGCGCTCGTGTGCCAGCAGATCGGCGCCGGTCGCATCTGCCGGGAGCTGCTGCCCGTGCTCGGCGAGCTGACGCTGCCAGCCGGCCGGCCGGCAACCGGCGGCAGCGGCGGCGGCGGCGGCGCTGACTCTGTCATGGACTCGGTCATTTGTCAGCTGCTGCGGCAGCGCGACGGCGCCGTGCTGGTGACCGCCGAGCAGGTGGCGGCGCTGTCGGAGTCGGCGGACGGCGCGCCGCCGACGGAGCTGGTGGCCTTCACCTGCGGCCATAGCTGCAGCGCCGCGGCGCTGCGGGCCGACCTGCTGCCCGAGCTGCGGCTCGGGCTGTCTTCGCTGCCGCACGCGCTGCCGCGCACCGCGCAGCTGCTGATGGCACAGTACCGCGACCTGGCCGGCTGCCGCTGCGCCTGTCCTGCCTGCGCGCTCGAGTACGTGACGCGCTGCGTGCGCTCGGCCGGCGGCGCCGCCGCCCTCTAGCGGCTGGCCGCCGCTCTAGTCCGCCCGCGCGGCGCGGCCGTAGTGTGGCCGTGCGTCCGCCGTCTTTCGTCGAGTTGTGCGCCGGAGGAGCCCGTCACAGCGAGGCGTCAGCACGGATCCAGGTAGGCCCGGCGGGATCCCAGGGCGCACTCCAAGCATGTGGAGCTGGGGAACGCATGTGCCACCTTTGGTTTGGTCTGCGAGAAACGTTGGTTGACTCGCAGCTTTGCTGGGAGTCCGGGGCAATCCTGATCTTTCCAGGCTGCATGTCATTCTAATGGTATCCACTTTGCACTGGGCGAGGAAAGCCAGTAATGCGTCCCATGACGATTCAGGCCAAAGGACTGCGAAATTTGTCGTCATTCTACAGTGGGTGACCCAAAAATGCTTCCTCAGGAGTCGGGCCCGATGCCGATGAGTGTGGACGGTTCCGAGCCCTGTGCAGAATGGCTCTTGCAGTCCACAACCTGACATTATTGCCGGCGGAGCGTATGTCGCGCTGTGCTCCGTTGTATTATGCCCACCATTAAGAGGCTGCTGGCAGACTGACCCGCTGTTACCATTAAGAGACTGCCGGCAGACTGACCCGCTGTCACCATTAAGAGGCCGCTGGCAGACTGACCCACTGTCACCATTAAGAGACTGCTGGCTGACTGACCCATTGTCACCATTAAGAGCCTGCCGGCAGACGGACCCACTGTCACCATTAAGAGACTGCTGGCTGACTGACCCATTGTCACCATTAAGAGACTGCCGGCAGACGGACCCACTGTCACCATTGAGAGACTGCCGGCTGACTGACCCACTGTCACCATTGAGAGACTGCCGGCTGACTGACCAACTGTCACCATTGAGAGACTGCCGACTGACTGACCCACTGTCACCATTGAGAGACTGCCGGCTGACTGACCCACTGTCACCATTGAGAGACTGCCGGCTGACTGACCCACTGTCACCATTGAGAGACTGCCGGCTGACTGACCCACTGTCACCATTGAGAGACTGCCGACTGACTGACCCACTGTCACCATTAAGAGACTGCCGGCTGACTGACCGGCTGGTTCGTGCGGGCGGGAGCGGCAGAGCCCCGCTGCAGGCGTGAGCGCCGTGTGCACTGTGTGCAGTGTGTGCAGTGTGAAGTCGCCGTCGGTCGTCAGGCAATGTTTGGAGCTGTATTGGTATCCACGTCAGCTGGTGTTTGTACCGACAATCTACTGGCGAGTATTGGGCGCCATTGGCTGGAAACCAGCAATCCGGCCGCCGCGTAAACAACGCGAGACTGCCAGCAAACATGTCGGGTGGTCAAGTTCGTGCCTTCCCGGGCCACGTATAATCCGCATCACCATGCATGGTGATCAGTATGCACATGTATAATCCACATCATGTAATATCATGTAATATTATATAGTCCCACGTATTAGCCGTATCACCATTCATTGTGATCGGTATGCATTGCGTTCCTGCAATGCTTATTATGGACTGCCTGCGTGGTGGAATGTTATTGCCTTTGCGTTTGCTCTGATCCTGAGGTCTATATTAATACACACGTACACGCATACGTACCTGAAAGGCAGATATTTTTCGGACGCCCTAAAGGTCTATATCAGCACAGTCTCCGATAGCCAGATTTTATTTCATTTAGCCTCCGCACCATCCGCGGCACTGATACCGCTCACACGGGAACCCTTCGAGATTGAACTTACTGCCAAAGCACAGGTCTTAGCTGCGGGCAGACTGGACAGTACCTATTCTCATGACGAATGGTAGCGTACAAAGATATACTGGTATTGAAAGGTACTGACTGAGTAGGTTTGGGTATCACCGTGTTACGATGGTCCCTTGGTCGACACCTTTTCTTTTTTCTCTCTTATCCTGGACGGTTGTCATTCAACCGGTCACGCATCAGTGCAGTGTGAAATTGTCTCGACTGCCGAGTTGCTGTTCAAAAATGCAACTCATCCATATTCACACACGAACATGTGATTTCAGTGAAGGCAGAAACCTATCTAATGGAAGCTTTCCAACTCCGCGTAATGCCACAAGCACATACGTTGCCGCTTTTCCGTGAAAATTTACGCATAGACGAACGTGTGGAAGAGTTCGTGTGTAAAATTTTGCCTACCTGGATTTGCCTACAGTGCTTTTGCTGAAGATTATTTTAGCCACCTCACCGTTGCCAGTATGGTGCGCTCCCCCCCCCCCCCCCCCATTGCATTGTGTTCCGGCACGGTTCTGTGTTCGGGTGTTCTGTCTGTGTGTAGCTCTGTTTCTGTATAGTATCTGTTCTGTGTGCTCTGCTTATTCACGCCATGCTCCGGCAGGCCCCGTGCGTTCGGGTGGCAGCGCGCGTAGCTGCTGAGGTCGGCGGGCGGCGGTCGGCGGCGCTCTGACACGGTTACGGGTACGGGGGCGGCGACAGCTGCCGAGAGGTCGCCGGCCCACTGCACTTCAGGATAATGTGAGCTCGGGCGTCGGCGGTGCCACGCCCCCCGCGCTGTCTGGCGCGGACGCTGTGCGGCAGAGCTGGCGGAGGTCTGGCTCGGTCAGATGGGGGGTTTTCACCGGGTGTTTCCCGGTATGATGTGCACGCTGCCGGGTTGCGAGCCCGACTCTGACATCATCGCGCGCCTTGCAGACTTTGGACGGCGAGCGTCGCAAGATCGGCGGAGATGGCGGCCGACGGCTGCTCGGCGATCCCGTGCCTTTACCGCATTACCGCGACGGCCACAGGTGTACCCTTCCCCGGCTTCCAGAACCCCTCCCGGCACGCGCCCGTCCCGTTTGGTAGTGGGCGCCTCTGCGACGTCCCCCCTCACCCATCCCCGTCCCTCGCCGTCCCCTGCCGTGGCGTTCCGAATGCTGTGCCTGATCCTAACGTGAGTTTCCCGACGCTGTGCCTGCATGCAAGAGTTGGCCCGTGCCCTGCGTCTGGTCGGAGCAGTGGCATCACCGTGCTTTCAGTTGTTTGTTGCTGAGCGCTTGTATACGTTAAATAATACATGTTATCTACCTTTAGCCGGCCTGTTGAGTGTGTCGTGGTGCGGGAGAGAGGACGCGCTGGCGCAGTGGACTGTTCGATGCTGTTGGGACAGGTTAAATTTACTGAACTCGACCTGGACTGTTGCCAAGTAGCGGGCCATCCTTCAGACAAATTGTTTGGCTTACCTATTGGCTGCTATGCCAATGCTGCACCAATAGGATGCCGTGAAACGACCAGTTCATTCACAAGCGTGCCAAGTAAATGTATGTCTGCGCTAACGGTGCGGTGTTGACCGCGTTGACGACACAAAAGCTGTCACGATAGTTTGGGCTGTTAGTTGTGGCATCGGTGTGGCGAATAAGTGCACGAGGCTCAAAACCAGCCGGTGACACATGCGATACGTTGCGGATACGCCGTCCCTTTGTAGACATTAGACCCATGCAAGTAACCGCCTACGTACGTGCATCGCCAACGTTTTCCTTGGTCTTGTATTCTGAGAAACCACTGCCATTAGTGTCACCGCCGGCGCCGGCAGACACGCTAGGACAGACGGACAGTCGAAACGGGCCGTCAGATTACCACGCTGGTGCAAAGCATGGCACCGTGGCGCCAGAGACAGTCAGAGCAGATCCCGCTGAAGCAGAATTGAGCACGAGACGGATTGGTGTGTGCGATGGGCGGATTGTGTGTGTAGCAAAAGCGTCGAACCACAGCTCTCTGCATTAAGCCCGTCAACCTAAATAAACAGCATCCGCTGTAACGATGCAGGGTAGCAGGTGTGAACCCAACCACTACGTGATATACCTGGAATCAGAAACCAAACGTTGTTGCCTTGTCGACCGAAGAGCAGCAAAATGCGGAACACGCCGCTTAGCTGCCAAAATGCGTAATGGAGGAAGGGGGAGGGGAGAAGCATCGGCAACACCATTGAGACAGCACCGAGGCAAATCAGTACTGAAATATAAGTGTTCGAAAAGGTGAAAGGTTGACACACGTTCATTTCGTCGTTTACCGCAATAAATTTAGACGCCTCTTGTGGTGGTGGTGTATTGATATCGCGCGTCATGGTGGGGTCTGTCACCAACACAGACGGCTCATGCGGTGGTGGTGTATCGATATCGCGCGTCATGGTGGGGTCTGTCACCAACACAGACGGCTCACGTGGTGGTGGTGTATCGATATCGCGCGTCATGGTGGGGTCTGTCACCAACACAGACGGCTCACGTGGTGGTGGTGTATCGATATCGCGCGTCATGGTGGGGTCTGTCACCAACACAGACGGCTCACGTGGTGGTGGTGTATCGATATCGCGCGTCATGGTGGGGTCTGTCACCAACACAGACGGCTCATGCGGCGGTGGTGTATCGATATCGCGCGTCATGGTGGGGTCTGTCACCAACACAGACGGCTCACGTGGTGGTGGTGTATCGATATCGCGCGTCATGGTGGGGTCTGTTACTAGCACGAATTGCTCGCGAGCTAGAGGTATAATCCCGGAGTTCTTCATGCCGCCGACAGATATCAGCACCACGGGTAGTTCAATCGCTGCTTTTACGAAGGTGAAGAACCACGTATCTAGGTAAAGCTGCAGGACTGTTCAGAAGAACAGCTTATTTTGCTTGTTGCAATTGACACATACTATATTAATGTTTGCATTCAAGGATTGCAATGGGAAGTAAAAGTCCACGGCAAACATGAACAGGCCGTCCCAAGCGAACCCGCTTGTGGAATCATTTTCGTGTCTGGCAAAGAGCGATAACGAGCTGGCATTAACCCCGTCGGTGCATGTATAGCTGGCGCCGTAAAGAGCGTAAATGAACGTGCCCGCAAACCACGGGCGCTGTCCCTAAAAACATTCTCAAAATTCACAGCAATGCGTCCATCTTGAACGCTTCACAAATGTGTGGCTTATGCTAACGTGTCGTAACACATCAACGCGGCACGTGAACACTTCAATTCCGTCGACACTGGCACTGTTGCAAGAAGCGGTGCGTCCGTAGTGCACTATTTAGCATGATGTTTGCTGTTGAACGATGCTGTTTTCGAGCGCGATGAGGCCCAGTCTGAGATGCCGTGGCTTCCAACACGGCCTAAAACGTTCCCAGTAACCGTACGAGCTATATCGCAGTGAATAGACGCATCCCTTCTAAAACCGAAATGCCGCAGATGTGCACCACCGACAAATACTACCGGAACACCACCGATACAACCGAAAACATCCGCTACTACCACATGGTGTATTGTCAATCTCAAGGGTGCTGCTGAACGCAATGCTGGACAAAATGCCAGACGCAACAGTCAGGCTTCACAAAAGCCGTTACCGCCCGTGACAGTGAGGATAGCTGAGGTGAGCTAACAATTCACAGCATAATTACGGCCCCGAACAAGAACGCCGGCGGTCAGCACAGTCCTCGCCCCCCTCGTCGCACGGCGTCAGCTCCACAGGAGCTCCGGCCGGCGCCTCCTCCTCCTCCCCCTCCCCCCTCCCACCAAAGGAGCAGGGGCCGACTCCTCAGGAGCCAGCCCCTGCGCGCCGGACACCGCCGGCAGCTAGCCCCCCTTCTGGTCAGAGCGCACCCGCCGGCGCCACGCGGTCGCCGACGGAGCGCGCGGCGCTGACTGGGTGGCGCCGCCGGCCGGCCGGCGCGCGCCGCTGAGCCGGCCGGACGGCGCCGGCGCGCGAGGCAGCCGGCGTCGGCGCCGGCCGCTTGGCCGCCTGGCCCGAGGGGGCGGCGCTCGCCACGCAGGCAGTCGGGATAGAGCCCGGGTGGATGGCGGCCCGGCTGGCCGGCGGCTCCGCTGCCGCGCAGGCGAGAGAGGGCGGGTCAGGTCACACTCTGCCGCCGCACGACGTGTCAGCCACCGCCGCGCCCGGCCCAGCAGCAAGAAATGGCTCTGGCTCCAGGCTTTTCGGCATTGTGAGACCAAACTTTGCTATGCTGGAAATGTGGATTTTCAAAAAAGCATCGACTTTACTGAGAAAATTAGACGCTTCGAAGAGCTGTCCACGGTTTTGAGGGAACGAGGTTAGGCAAAAATGTCAAATACGAACCAAGAGACATGGCATACATGTAGTGCTCCAAATATTTGCAGACACTGCCATTCAAAAGAAGTGTCGGGACCTGAACGGGAAGATCATGACCCGCCGCGAAGAACGCGCGCTGGTTTGTCCGCCAGTCAGAGGCACCAGAGGCGCGTGTTACGGGGCACGATACGAACGGCGAGGCTACGGCCCGGTCACGCGCCAGCCCAGGCCAGGTCAGTTCAGCGATATAGCAAATGGCGCACCGATCCCGCAAACAATACGTACCCCAGGTCGGAAGAAACGGCGCCGGCGTACAGGCACCAGTCACAGCGATTCACTGACACCTGTCGTACGGTTGTCACTCACTCTGGCAAAGCCCCGACCTGACCAGCGCACGCACACAGCTGCTGTGGCATCTCCTACCGAAACACGCGGCGCGCAGCGGGCGGGGCCGCGTGACGGGCGGCACCGGCCGGCCCGCTGGCTCGGAACTCACCAGCGCGCGCGGTGTGCAGCAGCATGGCCGGGTCCACCGCCACCTCCCCCAGACCGTTGACAGTCATGCCGTGCAGCAGACTGAGCGCTGTGGGCACGAACCGCAGGGTGTGGGTCAGGCAGGTCAGGCGGGCAGGTTAGGTCGGATCGGTCAGGCAGGTCAGGTCAGATAGAAAGTCATGTCGGGTCAGATCAAGTCAGTCAGGTAGTTCAGGTCCGGTCATACACGTCAGGTCGGTTGGGCAGGTCAGATGAGACAGACAGGTCAGGTCAGGTAGGCAGGTCAAGTCAGTCAGGCGCGGGTCGGGCACACAGGTGTGATAACACGGCGCTAGAGGTGTCTGGTCTGGCCGGCTGGCTGAGGTGCCGTGTACCGTTATCACGCGTATCATTCGACCAAGTGTATCATTACCACGGCCCATCTCACCACCAGTCCAACGGATAGCGTCGTGCAAGCAGTGCTGCCGTCATGAGGTCAACGGATTTGAACCCTGCCCCAGCGCACTTTTGCCGCTCAATGGTCCATGTCACAATGGCTTAGGATGCACGCCAGCCGTTTCGCGTCGAGTTTGTCATTATGACATCATGCGACACCAAATGCACCTCCAGCATCCTCCTCCTTCTTACGTAACCGGCTAATGACCACCAATCAATGTTTCCCGCGGCGCGGATCGAACCCGCGACCTTGCCGTCACCAGCCGGACGCGCGACTGACCGTGACGGGCGCCCCGGGCGTCCAGCTGGGCCCAGTGGTGCTCGCTGGGGCTGACGGCCAGGTGGCCCGGCGGCGGAGCCGGCGCCGCGCCCGTGTACCGGAAGCAGGGGTTCTTGAGGTCAAGCGTAACCGTGCTCGTCACGCCGGTGCCCTCCACCTCCAGCGAAATGGTGACGTCATAGCTCTGCCTGCGGGTCGTGGCGCCGTCAGAGGTGGCCTCGGAGGGCCGCCGTGACGGAGCCGGTGGGCGCTGACGTCGGGCGGTGGTGGGTGGGCAGAGTCTCAACTAGGCGGGGGTGGTCGCTGGCCCGTGTGACCTACTATATGTTGCAATGGGGTGTTTTGACCTACTTCTGGCTGGTCACCAATACCCGTGGCTCATCTCTAGTTGAGCACCATCTTCTGTGATCCCTCCGGTTCATCCCCAATTGCCGTGAGCCATCTCTGGTTGTCCGTGGCCTCCATCATCAACCTCTAGCTGGTCAGCATTACCCAGTGAATCCTGAGACACCTCTGACAGGTGCCAGCGGAGGGCACACAAGCAGCGAGAGGTTCCCGTAACCACAGTAACATTCAGAACATCAAGCCGCTACGCGCGGGGGCAGCACACGTCCATCGCTTTCCCCGAGGCCCCTGACGACTATCACTCCACGTGACCCACGTCCGGCTCCCTCATCGCAACCGAAACCGTCCCGGCCGCCGTCAACCCGCGCCGCTCCCCCGAACTCCCCAAAAGCGTCCTGCCCCGCCTCCAGCACACCGCCGGCACCCGAGACCCACCCGCGATCCCGCGACCCGTCCCTGACCTCCACATCGTGTTGCTCGCCGCCGCCGGCACCCACCTCTGGTTGGCCGTCATGAGGACGCGGCCGGTGAGCGTCTGGCCCTGCTTGGCCGGCAGCGGGTGCCGCAGCAGACAGCGCACCTGGTACCAGTGCGTCAGCGGCTCGGTCGGCGCCGTGCTCAGCCGCACGGCCGTCTGCGAGCCGCAGAACACCACGTCGAACCAGAACGCCAGGCCGTGCACCGTGCCGGTCTCGCGGATCCGGAACTCCACCGGGATATCTGCGGAGAGCACGCCAGAGGCGTCAGGGGGCGGCCGGGCCGCGCGCGCGGAGGCCACACAGGAGAGCCGAGCGGACGACGCGGCCCCGCCTGCGGAGCTGCGGGGAGCACGTGAGAGGCTTCACGGGGTGACGGGCTAGCGTCTCCCGAGAGCGCATGAGCAGCGCGAGCTTCCCCAAACCAGAGCAACAGCCGGATAACATCAATTCGCTTAGCCGAACGAGAGTCAGCACGCACCACCATGCACTTACGACCACTGTAGCGATTGGCTAACTGAGTAAATCATCGCGGTTGCCAGCGGCCAGCTACACATACACACACACACACACACACACACACACACACACCGCTAGCCTATAACCGAGGGAAGCTTCCGGCTCGCACCGCCTCGACAGTGAACGCGCGACGTACGCTCCGCCCCACATCCCAGACGGTGTGCGGCTCACAGCAGCACGCGCCAGCGATCCCGGCCGTCGTACCGATCTGGTGCAGCTGGCGCTCCTCGGCCTCGTGGAAGTCGAGCGGGTGGCGCACCGGCTCGGCCAGGCAGATCCGCTCATCGAACGTGTCCACGATCGGCTGCCGGAAGTACTCGTCGGCCGCCCGCTGCTGCAGTGACGTCACGTCCACGCCGTGGAAGCTGGCCTGGTGCCTGCGGGCCGGGGGGACAGCTGCAGGACAGACCAGACAGACGGCCGCGCAGCGGCGGCGGGCGGACCACACGCGACAGAGCCACTGCGGCTGAGGAACTCCTACGGGGTGGGGGTCCCAATCTGCGATCGCAGAGGAATCCTAAGCGCCGGTCGAGTGCAAATGGAGGTCCGTGTCGGCGCGGTTACAGCCGCATCCCCCCCCCCCCTACCACCACCAAAAACACAAGCCTGTCAGTCAGTAAGTCGGTCAGGCTACAGCTGTATGTCACGTAGCCACCACAGCCGTCAGTTGGTAAACTGTGACAGTCGTCTATCAGTGAACTGTAATACAGCCATTAGTCGGTGAACTGTAACAGCCGTCCGTCGATGAACTGTAACAGCCGTCCGTCGATAAACTGTAACAGCCGTCCGTCGATGAGCTGTAACAGCCCGTCAAGGAGCCCGACCACTGGCCGACGACGCGGAGACAGAATGGAGAGGGAGCCGCACCAGAAGTTAGCCTTGCTGCACTGCTCCATGTAGAGTGCCTGGTCACCGAACGGCGCCACGTGCAGCTCGGCCCGGCTTCGGAAACAGACGACCTGTAACGGGGGTGCTGGCTCAGCATCCCAGCCCATCAGCGGAAGCGGACATCATAGCTCATTGTCCCAGCCCATCAGCAGACTGGAACACAGCGGACACGTGGGACGGCGGACATCACAGCTCAGCGCCCCAACCCACCAGCAGACTAGAATACAGCAGGCACGTGAGACGGTGGCATCGCAGCTGTGTCCCAACCTATCAGCAGACTGGAACACAGCGGACATCACAGCTTAGTGTCCCAGCCCATCAACAGACTGGACCATAGCGGACACGTGAGACAGAGGACATCACAGCTCAGCGTCCCAACCCATCAGCGGACTGGAACATAGTGGACTATCTGGGAGTCAACTGGTGATCTGTTGACTCTCGAGTCAGCTGGTGATCTGTTGATTCTGATTGAGTCGGGTCTGTGCGTTAGCTAGTGATCTGCTGATATGAGTCTGAGTCAGATATGTGCGTCAGACGGTGGTCTGTTGACTCTGACTGAGTCAGACTTGTACGTCAGGCAGTCGTGCTTGCTCTCATTTCACAGTGATCGACAATATGTGGATTTTGTGCAAAAGCCTCCTCATACAAAACCACGAACTTCCGCAGGGCAAACATCTTCAGACCCATCAGGAAACCGCGATACGCATGAGACAGCTGACACACGACAGTGGACAAACGGGACAGTGCACACACAGATAACAATCACAGCTGTCAGTGTATGTACGTGGCAGCGGAAACGAAGCATGTAAATGCCCGTGAACGAATAACCAATAAATCCCCAGAACGGTTTACTTTCCTAGCGTCTTAAGCCGTCTGACGAGCCATGGGACCCGGCTACCTACCGCCAGGCTTGAGCCACTTCTTGGCGTGTAGGAAGGTCTCCAGCATGCGCTCGTTGTAGAGCATGTAGCCCATGGGCTCCGAGACGATCATGTCCACCTTCTCGGGTAGCTCGATCTCCTCGATCTTGCCTGCGATCACCTGGATGACTTGCTGCAAGTTGTTGGACTCAACCAGCATCTGAAAGCCGGCGATGCAGTGTTGGACAGTGTGTAGTGTTCAGGGTGAATCCAAAGCGGTTTAAGTTCACATTCTAGTCAAAATACTAACCAAACTGAGTATGATACCAACAATATATAGCATACAAAGGAAATACAAACATCAAGTGCAACTGAAAATAAAGGGCTTCATGAAAAAACATCATACGAAAATAAAACAAAATTGCGGCTACCATAGATATGATAGCAGAGACGAAACAAAACGCCAGTGTCAGGGCGCACAATGAACATATAATTCAGCAACATCCTGCATTTGCAGTAGAAGCTCGCCTCTCAGCGATTGTCCATGGGAAACCGGCATGAAAACCTATGGCACACCAACTTCTTTCTGAGTGCAATATAAACTCGCGACACACAAAAATAACTCATATTCATTCCACCCGTGAATGTGATAGCGTCGCCGTGATTGCGCGTCCGGCCCTGACCGCTGGACACCACGATTTCTTTTGGCGGCGAAGTCAGCGGGATGGGCGCGGAAGCCGCGCAGTCGGCCACGCCGGCCGGGACATAGCGCCGTTCTCCGCCACGGAGCACTAGCACCCATGGCAGGGCCAAACGTCATCTGAACGGCTTCACAACGTGCATTGGAAAGGAGTGGGCAAATGGTACATATTTTTTCCCAAAACGTACGTGCGTATTGCGAACTTAACGCCGCTGTCAAGACTTCGAGTGGTCCATAATCCTGATGGACTGGTGGGAGGGGGGGGGGGGGGAGGGGCACGGCAGACATCGTGACCATGCCTTCTTCCCCAATCAAAGAGACGCCAAACTTTACAGTCGCCATCGGCACAACGGCGCCGCCACCACCTACCGCCGCGTGCTCGGCCATCGAGCTGGCCTCTACAGCGTACACCTTCCTGGCGCCGGCCTGTGCCGCGAAGAATGAGAGTATACCGGAGCCGGCGCCCGCGTCCAGCACCACCTGGGAGAGGGGGAGGTACGGTTACAAGACACGGGGGACAGCGGTGAACACATCTCCGGCATCACCTGAGGCAGGCATGCCCAGCCCTTCATAAGTGCCTTCGTAACGATTGTGCATTGCTTGCAGAGATGGAGCCGTAATATATGGGCAGGTTGCCTTGAACTCGGGTTGCCTCGGTTACTGAGCTAGCGCACTCCGACAGATGCCAGGCAAACGCACTTGCAGAGGCATATAATCATGGCAGGGCAGTAAGCATATCGTGTGAGATGTTTAACTTAGACCAAACCGCTCCTGCCGAACCGCCGCATCATGCGCACAACTCCCACCCCTCGTTCTCCGCCGGCAGCTGCTCGACCTGAGCGACCCCAAAACACACAGAGTCAATCCTAGGCCCCAGCCACGCCTTCCCCAGGGCCATCGCACACAGGTCAGGTACAGGGGCTGGTCCTGAGTCGGCCAGCGTCACCTCGTGAGCGTGCTGTACCTTTCCGGTGAAGTCGGCGGTGTTGGCGAGGATGGCGCGCTGGTAGGTGCCCGTCCGGATGAAGTCCTGCATCATGTTCTGCTGCTGCGACAGGTAGCCGTAGAACTGCAGGCGAGGAGCGGGAGGCGGCAGCGCCCGGATCAGTCGGCGGTCCGCTGCGTGCGGGGCGGCAGGTCCAGCGGAGCGCAGGCGCCGCGCGGTCGGAGCGGCAGCGGCGTGACAGTTCAGCTCCTCCCACCCGGCCCAGGACCGGACAGAGCGGCAGCAGAGCAACGGTCCAGGCTCCCCCAGCCCGGCCCGCCCCGGCGGACAGAGCGGCAGCAGAGCAACGGTCCAGCTCCCCCAGCCCGGCCCGCCCCGGCGGACAGAGCGGCAGCAAAGCAACGGTCCAGCTCCCCCAGCCCGGCCCGCCCCGGCGGGCAGAGCGGCAGCAAAGCAACGGTCCAGCTCCCCCAGCCCGGCCCGCCCCGGCGGGCAGAGCGGTAGTAGAGCGACGGTTCAGCTCCTCCAGCCTGGCCCGCTCCGATGCCAAGGTGGCAGTGAGGCGACGGTTCATTTCCCAGCCCGGCCCGCTCCAATGGACAGAGCGGCAGCAGAGCGACAGTTCAGCTCCCCTAGCCCGGCCTGCCCTAGTGGCCAGAGCAGCAGCGTTGCCAGCGCACTGCTCACGGAACAGGTGAACAGGTGACGCGAACTGCTAACATCACCGGGCGACATCCGCAAACGGAGTCAAATGACACCTCTCGTGTGGCACTGCAAGGTCCCAACCGTCGGCACAACGCGGCTGGGCAGCGGCCACCCCCACAGTGGGAGATAACATCACGAGCAATCAAACATCCATTGGGCAGACTGGAACCTCCTGACAACGGCGCGTCCAGCCACCCCCACCAGAGATCGAACAGTGATCATATCCACAAACCATCAGGGGGAGCTGTGTGGCGAACGCAGCCACTAACCTGGAAATACTGAGAGGCTGATGCCTCCTCTGTGCGTTCTGAGAACACGGACGCTGCCTGGCCGGACTTGAAGTCCTGCATGAACTTGTGAAATCGCTGGCAGTCTGAAACCATCGTCGACTACGTCATCGTCGCACACGGAAAAATACGCTGGAAGGATCAGTCAGGTCACAATGAAGAACTGGACATTCTGTGCGCCCTGCAGAACTTAAATGCAGTGATACAGAAGCACAAAAAAGTGAGAAGGGTATAGCATTTAAATGCTGTTGAAATGTGAGAAAGACGAGATAAACACACTCAAATCACGACACATACACACAAAAATGAAATCCTAAGGTATGCACAACAAATAAACAAGACAGATCAATCTGGGGTTAATGTGCATTATTAGACTGTCTAAACAAAACAAAAGCAAAAAATGGAAACAAGGTTTACCATATGAAGTTAACAGTTCAACTCCCCACAGGCAGTGAGAAGAGCAGGGCGTCTCTCAACAAGTATGCTCATGTCATTCTGTGTCACCTATACAAACCTTGTGTGGTATGAAACACAACCATGAAGGCATCACTGGTGAAAGAGAAAATGTAGGAGGTCCTGCCAGCTTTGCAGCACTCTGTTGTCTTTGTGATAGGGAACTCCAGCTGGATCTTATGTCCTGAAATACAAAATATCTTTCACTGTCATTGGCAGGCACAACCAAGCCACTCACTTTTTATGGAAGTTTCACTTTTCCAATGCAAACTGCATCATGCATGACTGCTCTCAGGTGGTGGTGGGCTTTAAATGGAGCATTCCACATACATGTGGTGTTTTGAACTGAAATAACCATCTTGAGGACCTTTTGAAGATGTTCACAATTATGCCCTCCTTAAGACCTACACCCCTGAAGTTTCTGAGCTACACACCTGTGAAAATCATGAAATGTATATCAAGAAAAATAGGTCAAGGTCACCTTGGCATTTGCTGTCATAATAACCACATTTAAATCCTGCCATTCCATAAGCCATGCCACAATCAAGGCTAAAAGATTTAGCTGTCCAGACATTTATATCTAGCATTCATGAGCTTGATTCCCAGATATCATGGCCATGAACTTGCTTTCAATCAATGTAGGGCAAGGTACAATGACATAATGAAACCATGGCATACTGAGGAGCATATTTACTTAAACAGCAACAGAAACAGAACCAACAAGAACAGAAAGTTGTGTTCTCTAGAGTGGTCTTTTCCATTCAAAAATTATACCAACAGGTATAAGTGAGCATGTTTCATTTTACCTGATGATTTCTTCAATATCATCAAATGTGAAACATTTCCTCTATGACAAGCCATGAGGTAGGTCCTAGGTCCTAAATATTTAGGAGTTATTTAAGGCTACTCTTATAACAGTCCATTAAAATTACTGGTGGAGTCCAAAACATGATACTTGACAAAAAAGGGAGATGGTAATTTGCAGCCCATCAATTTCAAGGGCCTTACTCTTCAACCAACACTTACATTTAATTTTTGATTTTCTACAGTTATGACTCAATAACAAATTTGGTTTTAAGCAGACTTCTTGTAACCATGTGCAGTCTCAATCATGTGGAGCATACTTTTTACCATATGGATCATAAATTCATGTTAAGTGCATGGTAGCCAGTGTCACATCATGCTAAAATTCCTTAGCAAGATCAAAGAGAGAATTAAGCATGAACATGACATGGCAGCAACAAATCTTACCTCAATGTGACAACAAAATACTATGCCCAACTGTGGGTCGAATGCTTCCCACACATACTTTGAATGTGTTCTTGAGAACCTTTCCCTTCATCTTATTGTTCAGCATGACCCCTGGTTGCACTCACCTGCATAAAATTTAGCACTCATCCCAGCTGGATCATAGCTAAGGCATAATTGCACCTTCTCTTTTATGCGACAAGCCGTGCCACCATCTTCGAGAACATTCAAGATGCCCACATTGTCGTACACCATACCCATGATTCGCTCTTTATAAGAGGCTATAAAGCAGATTATGCAAATCTGTTGATTGTCTTACTGATGCGAAGAGACAAGTACATCTTGAACTCAGGACATTTAATTTTCACTCAATTTAATTTAAGTCCCTATGCATGGCACCCCTACGCATAACACGGCCAAACCGGGATATCATAGTAAAAACCAAGGCCGCGGAGAGATGGGTAGCGTAAAATTATTTCACGTCTTATGAACGCCATATTTGAAACAGTCAAGGCTACCAAACAATCAAAATTTATCCACATTCTTCATGCTATTCAGTTTCCCTTTACTAGTGGAAATTCACGGTCGCCCAAGCTGTGCGGAGTATGTGAGCTGTGCAACATGGAGATTTTAGCGTTAAAAGCATGGGCCTCACCACAACAGTTCCTCTTTCCTGGTGCAAAATCCCGGCCGCACATGATTCCTTGATCTGCTATTTCCCCACAGTGTTTATTGAAACGCATAGAGCAATGCCAGGCAAGGGTCATCACGTCATACAACAACACACACACTGCAAACATATTTACATTCTAGATATCCTAATTGTTATTATACATGCATAATGCAAGCAAGAAAGGAATGCACGGCATATAACGGATCAGCACAAATGTGCGGGTACGTAAGGTCAGCGTTCCCACAGGACTTTCGTTTCTTTAAGGTGCATTAATACCACGCAAGGTTATAAAACAAAAGAAGCGCCGGGGACCTCGAAAAATCGTCGAAGGATCGGTGATCACTCCGACGGGCTTACATTTTGCAGATGTGCAGGTGCCGAGCACCCGGCCGTCGGCGCGCCAGGTCGACACGGTCTCCCATCACCGTGTCCGTCTCAACGTCTCTCCGACAGCCAATTCTAACCGTAGTCCGTGCTCTGTTTGAACGTACTCATACTCCGGCGGGGTCGGTGTTTTTAAAAGGGCGCCCCCTTCTGATCGTTCTGGCGCCCACGTCCGGAACCAGCGCCCGCGCCAAACGTAACAAGCGAAAACCGTGCTCGCACATGGAAAAAGCAGCATGTGGCCCAAGACGGATAAATACGCCGTGCGCCACATCTAAAGCTAGCGTTTTCATTCCTGTCTCCGGGATTACGAAAAACACGCAGGCGTCGTAAGACTAACGGACTCGCACCCTAAAAAAACAGCATGAGGCCCACGGCGGATACATACGCCGCGCGCCACAGCAACTGTTCAAACTATCTCCTGCCGTCGTCAGGTATTATCGAGTCCTGAAAATGACGCTTGGCTTTTAGTCATGTCAGCGCCACAGCCCAAATTCTCCACTTGAAAATGTGTATTTTCGAACCAGGGTCATTTGAACGAGAATCCGGTGCTCTATCAATTGAACTAATCGAGGACAAGGGAAGGGCAAGCCCTTTCCGGTTTAATAAGTTGGTGCAACACTGGACTGTATTAGACGACCTTGGTTCGAGTCCCAGCAATGGCAAGGAGAGAACTCGGGTTGTGACGCATACATGGCTTGAAGACAAACATCATCCATTCTTGGTCAGTACTCCATAACACGTGACGTTGATAGGAGAGCTAACTGACGGAAACATTGTGTATTACTGATACACCAGACTTGTAAAATAGTCCAAATTAGGTCAAAAAGCGTCGTGATGAGAGAAAAAAGCTGCGCCGCATCCTGACCAGGCAGGGGCGGACTTAAGTTCCAAGTGTGCCTCTGACCACGCACATACAAAGAAACTCAGCCCAAGAACACTACATAAATCGCCAACTTGACCACAGAGGAACAGACAAGAATGTCACATGCTCCCAGGCCGCATAACCAGCACCAACCGTATCTTGAAGAACCGGACACTTGCCCTGCATCTGCCTCCATCCGCCCGCAGTCGCCGGGAGCCCAGTACTAGGAAGCTATGGGGGCTTGCTCACTGGTGTGCATACCGTTCAGTCCCCGCCGGGAGAGTAGACTCGTGCGTGGATATCATGGGTTAAGCCTCACCGTTTGAGGTGGGTCTGATGTTATCAGCATCGGCAGAATATGGAACACCGTAAAACGCCGAGCGCTGGTGCACTGGGGCTGGAAATACCCTTATATCCCCTAATACCCACCGTGGACGTCTGAAAAAGTTCAGGTAGTGTCATGTCGCCAGCTAGGGGCCCATCAACCTCCGAATTACTTTTTACCCGAAACGTTGATAAATCACAAAATTACGAAAGGACATGACACTCAAGGGTACAGTCAACGCCTCCAGAATGTCCACACACATGCAAAATAAACTCGTCCAGGTGATCACATCAGTGGCTGAGCCTCAATGAGTGAGCCCTCATAGCTTGCCAATACTGAACAAAAGAATGACACGCGCGGCGCGTTCAACCAGCCACTCCGAATGTCCGTGGAGTTGGTGATTTACCCAGTGACGTAATCAGCGACGAGTTCCAATTTCACTCAAAGCACGTCAGATGGTTTATTATGGCACAACATCGAAAGTAACGATTGTTCTTGCACTGTCGTGTCAATATCTTTTAAGATCATATCAAAGCTCAAATGACGGGTAGCTTCATATCACAAACAATTACCGGCCGATTTCAGTTTTTAAAGCATCAGAACCTTCACCGACAAGGGAACTACGTCCATCAAACATCATGTCCCTTAATATCACCCTTCGAGGCCAAAGTTATGCCTCAATGACGGGGAACTCCGCATCACTTAAAAATCCTTGACAGATTTCGGATTTTTTACTACCAGAGTGATCACAAGCGCATGAATTGGCGTCTGCCACATAGTCATGACCCCTCAAAGTCATCCTTCAATCTCAAACTCAGGCTCAAAGAACGGGGAACTCCATATCACCAACAAATCACCGGCCAATTTCAACTCTTCAAACTCCAGGGTATTCGCTACAGCAGGAACTAGCGTCTTCCTGCAAAAACAGATTTTCAGGATCCATTCTTCGCCTATACCAATAAGCCCTTCAAGGTTTGCATGAAAAACAAGCATTACTCGATTGCCACCAATCAGAGCATATGCGCATAATGGATCTCACAACTCAAATGAATATGCGACATGATGACATAGTTGGGGGATGCTAATTTTTTGGCAACCATAAGGACTTTTAACTCATAGGACTATACCAGATACAAATCGTGCACTGTGTTTCAGTTTGAAAAACAAGTCCAGATTCCATGCCTCCTATCTCTGTCAGACAGACATGCGACCCCTTACATCGCAGAAAATTCCGGTAATAAAGAGCCTGTAGCTGATCACTGCTATTGGTGGTGGCCATATGATCTGAATCATAGCTGTCTATGGTGCCACATTTTTCAGACAAACCCAAAGGGATAGAAACTAATTGCATTTAGTTTTACAGGTTGGAATAAAAAAGTTGCTTCCAAATTTGCTACGATCTAAACGATCCAAACTTGCGACAAAGTAGAATTAGTTCAGATTCATTAGGATTCTGAACTTCAGAAACTTCAGAACTTGGGAATACATTTCAGTCGATAAAAAATATGGAAGACAACTGAGAATGACACATGTTTAAGCCTGTACTATGGTGTACTCAAGTTGAGCTGCCAAGCCATTTAACTAGTTTGCTACCAATTCTAGTTCATTGCGTGAATTGAGCTTTTTGAGTGGATAAGACATTTAGAGGCAAACAAATCAACCTGAGACCAATTTGGAACTTGTGCTATGAGTTGGATGGTGCATGCCATAATACATCGCACATTCAACATAAATACAACCCCGGCCGGAATACTTCCTCGGGTACCTGTGTAGACGGGTGAAAGGCCTTACTACAGATCTTGTTCAAACTTGGACATTATAGGTGACCAACTGAAAGTTGCCAACGCATCAAGCAGATGCGGCGCCACCGGGGTGAGGGGCGGAGAGATGCGTCCCCTTTATCGCTTCATAGGGAGGGGGTCAGTCTCCGTATTCTATCCCATCCTATCGTTCGGCGATATCGCCCCTTTAATGGCCGAGCACATTCAATGTCTTCCGTGCATGGAGTTCAAAGCCGGACTACGAGGTGATAGGATCATTACGTGCGTGCAGGCTACGGATATAAAATATTTCTTAAAGGGAAAGCGAAAACTAATATGACATTGTCGTGCACGTGCTACCATGCGATATGCTTAATTTCACAAATGCGACTGTTATTTTCGCACGCTCTCCGTCAACGACCACCACGTGCTATCACCGCTTCTACCGCCGTGTTTTTTTTTTTGCAAAAGCTTTAGAACTCAAATAGATACAGTCCTGAAATTTGATGCATATTTCCTTTTCATTGTACGCCTTGAAACATTCTTTATATAGGTGCCTTGCATCACAGAGCCAGTATTGATATTTTCTTAACTCACTACCTACCATATTGCAGGGACCAGGGATGACAATTCATGCGACAATTTTTATGAGTTTTGCTTTTAAAAGCACGCTTTAGTCCAGCATCGGCAGATCTTTGAACAATCATCTTTTCAACAGCTTTGGTGTGGCGAACTTTCGATTTAAAACGGAGATAATATCTCAGCTGGGCTCGGCTGGGGGATGTCCCCGCGGTGCCCACCCTTCCTGCCATGGTGAGAGACGTACGGGACCATACAGCCCCACCGGCTGAGTGGGCCGTGAAGCCCCAATGAACGTTGACGGCGGGGAAACGGATGTCCTTCATCTTAATGTTCCCGGGACTTGGCAAAAAACAAAGCAAAAACAAACAAACAAACAAATGCCGGAGTGGAGCGATCTGAAATGCTAAGTAACTGTTATAGCAGAACCCGTTTTGTGCCGGGGGATATTTTGAATTTCGAAGCAAGCCATTGCGCTGCTCGAGACTAGCCTGAGGTGAGTCTAAAAACTGTAACTCACATAGCTCGTTTAGGTAAGGACAGATGTAATGGATAATGCAGAATTGTCCCGTTATGTGTTACTGTGTTGTATGTGTATTTACTAGGTTTTGTTTAATCTTTAAGCATCCTATGATCTTATCATGTGCCGCAGAATGGCTTTCAATAAGTATTCCAGCAGTGACTGGCCCGAGTGGCAAGAACCAACTTCAGAAAACCGCTCTTGAGTGTCTGGAGCCGTATTTCCTGCATCACTGCCCCAATCAGACACCTTTGTAATACGCTCTATGTTTTTTGTTTGTTCCTGAAACTGCTTTCTGTAGTTTA